CAGCAGGACCTTTGGGGGCTCCTGGTGATTGGCAAATTGGGCTGTTTGTTAAAGTTGCCTCAACAGGAGCTAGGAAAAAAAAAGGCAAATTAGAAGTCCCTTTTCCCCCATAATCTGTCCCTGAGAAGCATTTAAATAGGAAGGCTGCTCCTTGCCTCCTGCCTTTATGCCTGGACTCGGCATCAGACTTGAACAGCATGCAAAAAGAAATAATGAGGAGATCCTCTCACAAGAAAGAGATGTCTTTAGTTATAGTTTTTCAGTAGAGGAGTCTATGGGATAAACATTTAGCTTATTTTTTTTTGGCAAAAATAATAGACTGGATGGCTGGGAGGTTTTCTGAATGACAAAATGGATAATCAGTCTGGAACTGAGGAATTAAGGAGAGTAAATGAACAAAGTTTTTAAATACTAAAAGGTATCCTTGGAAAGATCTTTTTTTTTTTTTTCAAATAAATGAACTAAATCTATATTCTTTAATGAACAGATGCTAATTTCTCCCACTTTTTCTAATTGTTGTTTCCTAAGATGCAGTTATGAATTCATACTTGATCATCCTATTTCTTTATTATACTCTTTAGAAAGCAAGATCAGATATCATGAGGTACGGCGTTGGTTGGAAGTGTTTACCGCATTAGCATCTGGCACAGCATTTAAAAAATGTATGTGTAGCCTTTTCCCTGTAAATTTTGTTTATTTAATGGTGGAAAATCTCCCTAAGTCTTTTTGGTTGGTGTGGAAAGCCAGTTGTTGCTGAAGCGTACCATTTAATAACTGGTGTACGTGTATGTATTTTTTCTTTTCCAAAGGTAACTTGTAAATGGAAGCTGGTCTGCTGAGAAGGGAAAGGAGTGATACTCGGCAAGAGCCACCTTGCAAGCTCACGCTCTTAGGGAAGTACAGAATTAACTTCTGCTCGTTGGAGGCCCCTTCCAATTTTGTGTGTCTGCGCTGTGAGATCCAGCTTTGTCCTTTCAGACAACCCTCTTCCGTAGGGCTGGTCCCAAACTTAACAGGCCCCCTTCGTTGCCAGTCTTCACTGCTCTTCTAAGCCAACCTATTGCGTACAGCTGTGAGAAGTGAGATACTGTTCCCTGCTGTGAGGCTTGGTTTGCCTTACACAACAGCTATCTCATTTCTCTACTGGGGCTGGAGAAATGTGAGGGAGAAGCAATTTGTGCTACATTCACATGAAAGGCATCTGTGCTTTCTGCCAAGGAATGAGCTGCCTCTTATGTGAAATGGACTTGTAATTATTAAGCCCTACTTTCTCTCCTTTATGGGGTAAGTTCCACTCATTTATGCAACTAATCCCCAGTGAAGTCAAAAGTTTTTGTAGGCAAGAGAACGGATTTTAGTCATTAAATTCTGCTGCATCTATAAAATGGGAATTACAATACTGACCTCAACTGTGAAGAGATTGACTGCTGAAAGCAGTGAAGTAAGTGTGAGGCAGTATCAGTATGGCAGCGCTGTAATGGAGGGAGAGGGCATTTGCAGAAGATTTGGGAAAGCTCCTTCTGGGACGTTGCCCACCTCTTACATGGCAGTGTGTTGCAGAGACCGTTTCTTGCCGTTTAAGTCTTGCCATGCTTTTAACCTTCACATGCAGATACTCAAAGGGAAAACCTAGCCTCTTTTAACCAAATTATCTCTGTGTTTTCATCTGCCATTATGTTAATGCAATGCGAAGCTCAGCAGATGGCACAAAGTAAATTATGCTGGGGAGGGGGGAGTAGAGGGGGCGGAGGAGGAAGCAAAATTGACCTTTGTAGGACTTGCTGTTATTCCACAGCATGGTTTGAAAGCTAAAGTTCCAAGTCCTGCTTAAAGTCACATTAGTCAATGCGAAGGTAGACAGAATAGGCACAGAGATGGCAATGAATGTTAACTCTCCCTGGCACTGAATGTTTCTGAGCTTAATTTACCTGCACATTTGCTCAAAGAGCCCAGCGTATCCCTCACAAACGCTCTT